GTGGCTGGGTCTGTGGCAGGGTCGGTGGCTGGGTCGGTGGCTGGGTCGGTGGCTGCGTCGGTGGTGTGGTCGGAGGCTGGGTCGGTGGCTGGGTCGGTGGTGTGGTCGGTGGCTGGGTCGGTGGCTGGGTCGGTGGTGTGGTCGGTGGCTGGGTCAGTGGCTGGGTCTGTGGCAGGGTCGGTGGCTCGGTCTGTGGCTGGGTCGGTGGCTCGGTCTGTGGCTGGGTCGGTGCCTCGGTCTGTGGCTGGGTCGGTGGTGGGGTCGGTGGCTGGGTCGGTGGCTGGGTCGGTGGCTGGGTCAGTGGCTGGGTCTGTGGCAGGGTCGGTGGCTCGGTCTGTGGCTGGGTCGGTGGCTCGGTCTGTGGCTGGGTCGGTGGCTGGGTCGGTGGTGTGGTCGGAGGCTGGGTCGGTGGCTGGGTCGGTGGCTGGGTCGGTGGCTCGGTCTGTGGCTGGGTCGGTGGCTCGGTCTGTGGCTGGGTCGGTGGTGGGGTCGGTGGCTGGGTCGGTGGCTGGGTCGGTGGCTGGGTCAGTGGCAGGGTCGGTGGCTCGGTCTGTGGCTGGGTCGGTGGCTCGGTCTGTGGCTGGGTCGGTGGCTGGGTCGGTGGCTGGGTCGGTGGTGTGGTCGGAGGCTGGGTCGGTGGCTGGGTCGGTGGCTCGGTCTGTGGCTGGGTCGGTGGTGGGGTCGGTGGCTGGGTCGGTGGTGGGGTCGGTGGCTGGGTCGGTGGCTGGGTCGGTGGTGGGGTCGGTGGCTGGGTCAGTGGCTGGGTCGGTGGCTGGGTCGGTGGCTGGGTCGGAGGCTGGGTCAGTGGCTGGGTCGGTGGCTGGGTCGGTGGCTGGGTCGGTGGCTGGGTCGGTGGCTGGGTCGGTGGCTGGGTCGGTGGCTCGGTCTGTGGCTGGGTCGGTGGTGGGGTCGGTGGCTGGGTCGGTGGTGGGGTCGGTGGCTGGGTCGGTGGCTGGGTCGGTGGCTGGGTCAGTGGCTGGGTCGGTGGCTGGGTCGGTGGCTGGGTCGGAGGCTGGGTCAGTGGCTGGGTCGGTGGCTGGGTCGGTGGCTGGGTCGGTGGCTGGGTCGGTGGCTGGGTCGGTGGCTGGGTCGGTGGCTGGGTCGGTGGCTGGGTCAGTGGCTGGGTCGGTGGCTGGGTCGGAGGCTGGGTCAGTGGCTGGGTCGGAGGCTGGGTCAGTGGCTGGGTCGGTGGCTGGGTCGGTGGCTGGGTCGGTGACTGGGTCGGTGGCTGGGTCGGAGGCTGGGTCAGTGGCTGGGTCGGTGGCTGGGTCGGTGGCTGGGTCGGTGGCTGGGTCGGTGGCTGGGTCGGAGGCTGGGTCAGTGGCTGGGTCGGTGGCTGGGTCGGTGGCTGGGTCGGTGGCTGGGTCGGAGGCTGGGTCGGGCCTCCCTGCAGGCGTCAGTCTGCAGTGTGACAGCACTGGGATGGGATCCTTGGGATGGCGGCAAACGCATCAGACAGACTGTTGGATGTGACTTTCGTGAGAGTCGTACAAGAGGCAGGTCTTGGCCTCACTCATGTTCTTGATTTTCAGCCTGTCGGAGTGATCATTCCGGCAACATAGGAATGAGAGCAGACTCACTCGCTTCTGGGGCCAGGCAGTCATGAAAGTGGTAGTCGAGGGAGCACATGCTGCATTTTCCCTCGTGTAAATTGCATTTCCATGTGTAGTGGCCATATATGAACAGAATTGGAACTACCCCCCCCTCTCCATCGCTCTTTGACTTTATGATAATGAGGTGCCATATGGCACCTGAAGCCGGTTTCTGCAATAAGGGGTTGCTTTAGTAGGAGATTCGAGCGTTAGTTTGAGGGTTGAGTCGTTGTTTATATTCTTAACAGATAATTTTCACCGAAAAAAACCCAGTTAAGGTTAGGTTTTAGATGTTGCTGCTCTCAACAATGTCGGCAAAATGCCCGTCGGATGTCCAGAAAGTGATGGGCATGTCCACACATGCCCATCACAGGTCATCTCAGCTTGGTGAGGTCGTGGTGAAGGTAGCAAGAGGTCAGCACCATTGCCGTCTATTGCGATATCGACAAGTTGGGCGTCGGTGATGAGGCTGAGAATGTCAAGTACTTTACCCAGGGTGAAGCGCTCCTTGATCCGGAATCGAACTCTTGATCTTGAAGATCACTGTGGCACCTGCTGGGTAGGCCAGTTCCACGAGGCGAAGGGCAAGTAGCACAGAGCTTCAACAGTAACGCCTCAACGGCTGTGTATCTGGCTTGCACGCTAGTTACTGGGTGTTATCTTGAGGTTATCTTGAGATGATTTCGGGGCTTTAGTGTCCCCGCGGCCCGGTCCTCGACCAGGTCTCCACCCCCAGGAAGCAGCCCGTGACAGCTGACTAACACCCAGGTACCTATTTTACTGCTAGGTAACAGGGGCATAGGGTGAAAGAAACTCTGCCCATTGTTTCTCGCCGGCGCCTGGGATTGAACCCAGGACCACAGGATCACAAGTCCAGCGTGCTGTCCGCTCGGCCGACCGGCTCCCATAGCCACAGTTACACTACACTAATTACTGGGGCAGTGAGCCTAAGTTGTTGTCAACTTCGTCATGACAATATTTGTCTTCTAGGTGAAACCCTATTGCAGTAAAACATATATTTTCCTACATACACGACATTTTCTTACACGTCCGGAAGAGGTTTATGTATCATTAATGTATCATTAATTAATTAGAGGTTTATGTATCATTTTATGTATCACTCGTTACCAAGGAAGCCGGTGACAAGTGTCCTCGTGGATACATTCTCCACTACACTCGTAGTTAAAAACAAATTCCGATCTCAATAGAACATATTTTTGTGTAATCATTTAATATGAATAGAAAATTCCATTTGTATAATTATGTCCTTTTAAAGTAACAGTTGAGCATGTTCAATATTAATATTAATATAATATTTGTGCAAAACCTGAAGACACACTCGTGCTCCACACCTCCCCCACCTCTCACTCCCTACACCTCCATCTCTCACTCCCTACACCTCCATCTCTCACTCCCTACACCTCCATCTCTCACTCCCTACACCTCCATCTCTCACTCCCTACATCTCCATCTCTCACTCCCTACATCTCCATCTCTCACTCCCTATATCTCCATCTCTCACTCCCTACACCTCCATCTCTCACTCCCTACACCTCCATCTCTCACTTCCCACACCTCCATCTCTCACTCCCTACACCTCCATCTCTCACTCCCTACACCTCCATCTCTCACTTCCCACACCTCCATCTCTCACTCCCTACACCTCCATCTCTCACTCCCTACACCTCCATCTCTCACTCCCTACACCTCCATCTCTCACTTCCCACACCTCCATCTCTCACTCCCTACACCTCCATCTCTCACTCCCTACACCTCCATCTCTCACTCCCTACACCTCCATCTCTCACTTCCCACACCTCCATCTCTCACTCCCTACACCTCTATCTCTCACTCCCTACACCTCCATCTCTCACTTCCCACACCTCCATCTCTCACTCCCTACACCTCCATCTCTCACTTCCCACACCTCCATCTCTCACTCCCTACACCTCTATCTCTCACTCCCTACACCTCCATCTCTCACTTCCCACACCTCCATCTCTCACTCCCTACACCTCTATCTCTCACTCCCTACACCTCCATCTCTCACTTCCCACACCTCCATCTCTCACTCCCTACACCTCCATCTCTCACTCCCTACACCTCCATCTCTCACTTCCCACACCTTCACCCAATTCATAGGTATTTTTGGACCTTCCTCCCTTAATGCAGTTTCCTTATTCTTTTGCCATATTACCCCCTTTATTTTGTGTTTGTTTTGCTTTGTTAGGTACTTAAGGGATACACGTTACACATTGGTAAATACAATGAGGGGTTTAATATATATAAACCATATATATACCTGTATATATATATATATATATATATATATATATTATATATATATATATATATATATATATATATATATATATATATATATATATATATATACCTGCAACACTCCGGCAGCACCTGCAACACTCCGGCAGCACCTGCAACACTCCGGCAGCACCTGCAACACTCCGGCAGCACCTGCAACACTCCAGCAGCACCTGCAACACTCCAGCAGCACCTGCAACACTCCGGCAGCACCTGCAACACTCCAGCAGCACCTGCAACACTCCGGCAGCACCTGCAACACTCCGGCAGCACCTGCAACACTCCGGCAGCATCTGCAACACTCCGGCAGCACCTGCAACACTCCAGCAGCACCTGCAACACTCCGCCAGCACCTGCAACACTCCGGCAGCACCTGCAACACTCCGGCAGCACCTGCAACACTCCAGCAGCACCTGCAACACTCCGGCAGCACCTGCAACACTACAGCAGCACCTGCAACACTCCGGCAGCACCTGCCACACTCCGGCAGCACCTGCAACACTACAACAGCACCTGCAACACTCCGGCAGCACCTGCAACACTCCAGCAGCACCTGCAACACTACTACAGCACCTGCAACACTCCAGCAGCACCTGCAACACTCCGGCAGCACCTGCAACACTCCGGCAGCACCTGCAACACTCCGGCAGCACCTGCAACACTACAACAGCACCTGCAACACTCCGGTATCCTGCAACACTCCGGCAGCACCTGCAACACTCCGGCAGCACCTGCAACACTCCGGCAGCACCTGCAACACTCCGGCAGCACCTGCAACACTCCGGCAGCACCTGCAACACTCCGGCAGCACCTGCAACACTACAACAGCACCTGCAACACTCCGGCAGCACCTGCAACACTACAACCGCACCTGCAACACTCCGGCAGCACCTGCAACACTCCGGCAGCACCTGCAACACTCCAGCAGCACCTGCAACACTCCGGCAGCACCTGCAACACTCCAGCAGCACCTGCAACACTCCGGCAGCACCTGCAACACTCCGGCAGCACCTGCAACACTACAACAGCACCTGCAACACTCCGGCAGCACCTGCAACACTCCAGCAGCACCTGCAACACTACAACAGCACCTGCAACACTCCAGCAGCACCTGCAACACTCCGGCAGCACCTGCAACACTCCGGCAGCACCTGCAACACTCCGGCAGCACCTGCAACACTCCGGCAGCACCTGCAACACTACAACAGCACCTGCAACACTCCGGTATCCTGCAACACTCCGGCAGCACCTGCAACACTCCGGCAGCACCTGCAACACTCCGGCAGCACCTGCAACACTCCGGCAGCACCTGCAACACTCCGGCAGCACCTGCAACACTACAACAGCACCTGCAACACTCCGGCAGCACCTGCAACACTACAACAGCACCTGCAACACTCCGGCAGCACCTGCAACACTCCGGCAGCACCTGCAACACTCCGGCAGCACCTGCAACACTCCGGCAGCACCTGCAACACTCCGGCAGCCCCTGCAACACTCCGGCAGCACCTGCAACACTCCGGCAGCACCTGCAACACTCCAGCAGCACCTGCAACACTTCGGCAGCACCTGCAACACTCCGGCAGCACCTGCAACACTCCGGCAGCACCTGCAACACTCCGGCAGCACCTGCAACACTCCGGCAGCACCTGCAACACTACAACAGCCCCTGCAACACTCCGGCAGCACCTGCAACACTCCAGCAGCACCTGCAACACTCCAGCAGCACCTGCAACACTCCGGCAGCACCTGCAACACTCCGGCAGCACCTGCAACACTCCGGCAGCATCTGCAACACTCCGGCAGCACCTGCAACACTCCAGCAGCACCTGCAACACTCCGGCAGCACCTGCAACACTCCGGCAGCACCTGCAACACTCCGGCAGCACCTGCAACACTACAACAGCACCTGCAACACTCCGCAGCACCTGCAACACTCTGCAACACTCCGGCAGCACCTGCAACACTCCAAGCACCTGCAACACTCCGCAGCACCTGCAACACTCCGGCAGCACATGCAACACTCCGGCAGCACCTGCAACACTCCGGCAGCACCTGCAACAGCACCTGCAACACTCCGGCAGCACCTGCATCCTGCAACACTCCAACAGCACCTGCAACACTCCGGCAGCACATGCAACACTCCGGCAGCACCTGCAACACTACAACAGCACCTGCAACACTCCGGTATCCTGCAACACTCCGGCAGCACCTGCAACACTCCGGCAGCACCTGCAACACTCCGGCAGCACCTGCAACACTCCGGCAGCACCTGCAACACTCCGGCAGCACCTGCAACACTACAACAGCACCTGCAACACTCCGGCAGCACCTGCAACACTACAACAGCACCTGCAACACTCCGGCAGCACCTGCAACACTCCGGCAGCACCTGCAACACTACAACAGCACCTGCAACACTCCGGCAGCACATGCAACACTCCGGCAGCACCTGCAACACTACAACAGCACCTGCAACACTCCGGCAGCCCCGGCAAGACAAGGTGATTCAGTTCTACTGTGTTGAGCCGCAGTGTGGTGTTGAGGGAAGCGAATTATACCGCTCGTAAATTTAATTATATTTCCCCACACCAAAACCCCTCGCCCCTAACACGAGCAGGACGCGTTCCAGTTTGTGCTCTCGTTATGGTCGTACTACCAGACCCACCTCCGCCTGGAAGATGGTGTTACTGGTCGTACTACCAGACCCACCTC